TCTTTCCCTTTCTAACAGGTATACAATAAAAGGCATCAGGAACCTAATTTTCTATGAGCTGCCAACATATCCCCACTTCTACAGTGAAGTCTGTAACATGCTGAGAGCCACCACCAGAGGCGAGGAAGCCACCTGGACCTGTACTGTCCTCTACTCCAAGTACGATGCCCAGAGGTTGGCTGCAGTGGTCGGTGTGGAGCGGGCTGCGCAGATGCTGCAGTCCAAGAAGAATGTACACCTCTTCATCACTGGGGAAAGATGAGAATTTGTTGAACAGGAAATGGGACTTGGAGTGATACATAATGCTCGATTCTGTGCCACTTGGACCTGATTCTGATCACTTCTACAAGAGAAGGGCTGCTAGAAGGAAGAAGCAGCAGGCAGCATCATATCCGATATGTCTTTCTTTTCAGGTCACATTTCCCTGAGAAGTTAAATGTAAACTGAATTTTGGTAACTCCCATCTTTCAGAAGTCAAGAGGGAGCTAATGGGACAGTGAGAAGTTGATGGAAGGAAACTCCTACTTGTGAATCTTTTTGTAAGCCATAAATTCTTTTATTGTGATTTGACCTGTGATTTATTACACTTGGTAAATTCTTGCAGATTTGCCTATTTCTGTTTGACACTTTCATAAAGTAAGGCAGACAGGTCATTGCTTGTGAGAACTGCTTATGAGAAATGAGAATACTTTTTGCTGCTGAATATCTTAATTTTGGATCACACAGGTTTTATAGAACTTATTTTTCCCCAGCCAAACTTTTTAAAATTGTAAATATTCTATTTCAATTCAGCCTAGAAGAGTGTATTCATTCACTGATCTTTTTTAACTCGTAGAAAACATTTTAGTTAAAATATACACTTAAAATTATGTTATATAAAATAACAATTTCTACTCTTTCAAGAAATAATTTTGTGAAACTCTTGATGTTGAAATCTTCATCTTCAACATTGCCATCTTCAACATTACTGTATTCATTTTTTGTCATATAACAAAAATGAAAAGGAAGTGCTTTTTAAAACATTTTTATTTTGAAATATTCTCAGAAAAATTAAAAGTACAGAACCTGAACCATTTGAGAGTAAGTTGCTAACCTGATGGGCCTGTCGCTCCTGAAAATCACCCCTGAATTTAGCATGTATTTTCTATGAACAAGGGCATTTCTGCATAACCAAAAACCAACCGTGATCAGGGACTTGCCATTAATACATTATTATTGTCTAATCCTTTTACCTCATTTAGGTTTTGCCAGATGTCTCACAAATGACCTTTATAGCAAAAGGATACAGTTGAGAATTACATGTTGCTTTTAGTTGTCATATCTCTGTGCTGTCCTTTATTCTGGAATCTACTTCAGCTTTTCATTGGCTTCCTTGACCTTGACTCTTTTTTGAAGATTACAGGCTGGTTATATTGGTTATATTGGATGTTTTCTTGTGATTAGGTTTAGTTTATGTATCTTTGGCAGGAGCAGTGCAGAAATGATGCTGTGTCCTCATTGCGTCTCATCAGGTGGTGCACAGTTTCCACTTGTCCCATCATCGATGACACTAACTGACTACATGTTTAAGGTGATGTTTGCCAGGCTTTTCCACTGCAGAATGATTCTTTCCTCCTTTACTTTTTAATTTATATCAGTGTGGACTCGTCATTTCATCTTCTGTTCAGTGGGTTGTAATACATTACTGTTATTATTTCTTTAGATACTTAAACGATCTCAGATGTGGCCAGCAGGAGCACCTTCACGCTGGCACCTGTGTCTTTTTGACGTGTCCCCCTTGTAATTGACCATTTCTTCGTTTTCTGACACAGTAAGATATTCCAAGTTTGTCTTGTATTTTCCCAACTCCAGCCCTGCTTGCTTTAGTGGGAAATTAATTTAAAGCTAAGATTCGAGTGCTAGGCATGCTCAATACCATTGTGGAGCCACTGGTTCCAGGCCTTGTCAGTGGTCAGAGCTTGGGAATATTGCATGTGGATACATGTATACACACACATATGTGCACACAGCATCTGAATTTATTTTTGTATCCATATGCTGAAAACTGTGAATTAATGTCATGCCTCTGACTTTGGTCTGACACCGCAGGGTTCTTTCCATTTTTCTCCCTTTTCATCTCTGTAACTCCCTTCTCAGACAGTGAGACACGTAGCTCCCACTATTCTCAATGGAGCAGCCCTTATTGGTATAAGAAAACCCTTAAGGTTTTCTTCTATTTGGACACATAAAATTGCTTATCAAAAAAAAAAAAAAAAAATGAAATCACTTTTGGGGTAGTCTTCCTGCTATTAAATAGGCATTTTTATTTTTTCTCTCAACATAGAAAGTAGAATTATTCATTGCATACCTAGGTGGGTTTCTAAAGTTGTGAAAATTTGGATGACAGTCGTAAGCCTACAAACTGATGCTACGAGGAACTCTTTATATCTATAGAGTGCCCTGCGCTTATTAGCATATTGGTGCTGCTGTTTACCATCGAGCCTGTATATTTTGAGAAAAGAAATGAGTTTATATGCCTAGTTCAGAGATGTGAAGAAGAAGGGACTCTGATTACCCTCATCTTCTATTTCCATATTCTTTCCCCTGTGAATTGTAGCTAATCTCAAGTCTTTCATTATGACTATTCACAAGACTCCCAGATCTCCAGCTCCTCTGGACCTCCACTCACGTTTGAGCCTGGGTTTCAAGTCCACGCTGTAGCCCCGGGAATAAGCATTATAGTAAGCATTCCTAATGATTTTAATGCTGGCTCAGAGCGGGCCAGCTGCTCCTTGCAGAGAACACTGAGGATTTCAAGTGTGAACTAAGTATTACTTTTGTTCCTAACTCAACACCTAGGAAAGAGGGTAAGCCTCGGCAGTTAGCCCCGGCTCCTGAGTTGCTTACAGAGTTGCATCTCTGGAATGGTTTCATTGAAAGGATGCCTTAACATCAAGTCTCTTGCACACACAAAATAAGGGGAGAGAAGAGAGCCTACTGGACCACGGGTAATACTGCCTGAGCTGCAATTATACACTATCTTGGTATTTCGTAGCAAGGCCCATGTGTAGCAAGTGGCTTTATGGTGCCTATAGAAAACAGACAAAGGAATGGTCCCAGTCCTGGGAGGAGGTGGAATTATAGGGTGGGAAGAGGAACTTATCCAGAAAGTAAGACTTTGAAACTTGTTTTCCCTTCCCCATAGTAATAACAACTAGCTTAGCGTTTTTCTCTTTGAGGGAGAAAAAGCTTTGAATCATGAATGCTTCCTACAGCTGGCTGCACCATGTGCAATATTCAGAATACAAGAACTAGCTAATCATAGAGAAGCAGCAGCAGCTAAACAGCTCTCCTCTGGCTTCCAAAGGGCTTATAATTGAGTGCAGATGGCTCGGGTGGGATGAGGAGTGTGTCCCTGCTGACTCCTCCCACCCCAGAGGGCCAACGCGGCTCATGAAGACCCTCAGCCCTGATTGTGCCCTCATGGGGACAAGGAGCCAGGCTACTGAGGGAGGAGGGGCAGGCAGGTGGTTTGAGAGTCCGCCGCCCAGCCTCTGCAAGGCCACAGGAGCAGCTCTTCCAGCAGCAGAGTCTAGATGTGAGGAGTCTAGGTTCTCAGGATTACAGAGGCCAGGCATGAGGGCACGGGCTGCAAGTTCTTTATAATCATCGAAAGGGCCTCACTGTGCAACCTGCAGGTGGCTGTGAGGTGCCAGAAGCTTCATACAAGGGGAATGTAGTGGGAATGCGGCCTCCAAGCGGGGCGCAGCCTTCACAGCTGGTGCACCCTCTCCTCCCACCAGGTTCCTTCCAGTCTCTCTCGGCTTCTCTCTCTCTAAAGAAGTCACGGTAGTGATCTTCACCACCTTGTTTCTACTCCAGGCTTCTTGTTTGAAAAAGCTTTTCTGGAAGCCCAGCTAAATAGAATTCCCAACAAATTTCAGTCAGCTTTTAATTATAGTCAGCGAATTGGGAGTAGTACACAGATAATCCAAAATGGACGTAGTCTTTGAAGACAAGAGGAGAGCTCGCTCTCCTTTCCTCTGGGTCTAGCCAAGTGAGCCCCACCATGTTCGGCTGACAGGAGAAAGTGTGATTCTGTCTAAAAACTTGGATTGCTTCTTCCTGTGCCACGTGCTCTAACCAGAGTTGCAGTAAAATTCTGTGCATTTTATATCCTCGCTAAAGATGAACACGTTTCCATCTCCTCTTCAAATTTGCTTTGTTTCTGTTTCTGCTCTGAGGACTTTTCCTCTTTTCAGGTGGGGGAAGGAGTTGCCTCTGCTTGCATTGCGTGTATTTCCGCATCATTCCGGGGACCCCTTACACCTCTGGTCACACTGTCATTATTCCCATGGGAGGGGAGGGGAGGGCGTGAGAAGGAGCAGCTCCAGGCCTCTCTCAAACAAATACACTGTCCATCTCAAGAGTTAGTGCTCCAAAGGGTCAGGACTGAGATCCGATTGCCACAAGGGGAATCTGAGCCTGCCCCTTGTCACAGCTTACCCAGGTGTCACCCTCACTGCTGGAGAAACACCTGCACTTGCTTGTCCTCCTGATTGCCCCCTATAGTTGGGCAGAATGACACATTCCTAGGGCTGCTACTGGCCCAGCTGTCATGTTCTTCAGTCTTGGGCCTCTGTGGCTGTGGCAGGATGGGACCTGGAGCCTCAACTGACACAGAATGGGAAGGCAGGAGTCTTTGCGCCTGGCTGACTTGGAAGCTGTGCTGAATTCCTGCCCATCTGTTCTCCCAACTGAGCCAAGGCCAAAACCAGCTACCTCTTACCAACCCAGAGAATGACACGGAGCCTCGTGTCCTGCAGCCCTTGTCCTCACTGCCCTCTGCAGCCCCCCTTATCGGCCAGTTTGACTCCTCCCAGAGAGATGGCCCTGGGCTCACAGCTGGTGTTTGCCCACAGATGTTCATGGGTTTCTGCCTTCGCAGTCATCATTGCCCAAAGTTGGCACTGAGCTGGGTGATGGGAGCCACATCGCCACTAACCTGCCGCAGCTCCGTGCGTTTCCCCCCGGCTGCTTCTCAGCTCTCTCATCTTTATGAAGTAAGGAGTTATCCACACTATCTTGACAGGGACTTGAGAGAAAGTGGAAGAGACTGCTACAGTCTCCCTGGTCACAGGCCCCTGGATTTTATGGGGTGACACGGTGCTCAGCCAAAACTACATTTTCCAGTCCCCCTTGCGGTAAGGTGGGGCCACGCAAGCGCACACTAGCCACTGGGCAGACATTTAGGAGAGCTCTTTATCACTGAGAGGAACAGTGCTGCTGCCTTTTCTTCCCTTTATCCTGCTGTGAACAAGTGATGGCTGTAGCTCCTGAGAATAAAAGATGGTGAGGCAGAAAGTCAGAGGAGTCTGGTTCTCTGATCACATCCTGGAGCTGCCATGCTCATGCTATGCAGCCTCCCTTTGCACTCATGTAAAAACCTAAATCCCTAATTTGTTTAAGCCATGGAAGCCAGGCCTCTATTATTAGCAATTCCTCGTTGATAACAAAAGACAAAAATGGAATCACAGAGTCCTGAAGTACAAAGACTCTGCCTGTTTATTCTTCTGTTTTCTACAGAAACCAGCAGAAGGACTGAACTTCAGGGTTGATGCCTGGCCATTTGGTGACAGTGAGGAGTGAGCACTAAGGTGGCTCTAACTGCACTATATCACTTCTGTCACCTCCAGTCCACACCAAATGCATAAAAATGAGAGAGGACAAGTGTCTTCTCATAGAATTTATAGACACTGATAGTAGCAGAAAAAGAATTGGCAAGAAATCAGATCTCCCCTCTGAAAGCTGATGACCACCTGTTTGTCATCTCTTCTGGGTGTATTTCAAAGCAAAATTAGGTAATGAATGAGGATCCCTGGTAAGGTAGGAACTCAGCAGACTCGTGATCCAATCTGCCAGTTGACCCGTGTGTCACCTGTAGGTCATCTCTGAGAGGCGGTGTCCAGCATCTGCTTGCATGCCTTCAAGGGTGAGGTAGGTAGGTACTCCTGTAACTTTTCTCATCAGCTCTGATTGTTAGGGACTTGGTAACCCTTCCACCCATCGGCCCTAGTTCTGCTTCTGAAATTACACGGTACGAGTCTTTCTCTTCTTGTTAACCCTCAACTATTTGAAGACATCTCCCATGTCCCCTATGACATTTCTCTTTTCCAGGCCAGTCACCCTTAGTTCCTTCAATGATTTCTCTTTTCTTGAAAAGTTATTCTTTACTTTTGCTCATTCAGCAAAGGCAAGTAAAACAGTGAAAAATGATTTTAAAAAAATCAACTACATATTCTTGGTGATAACTATTATTAATATCTTGATATGTTTCTT